AGTTTTTTAAAGCATAATGAGCAATGAAACTCCTGAAACACATTACTATCTGTGAAGCCTTTGCTTTTTCCAGAGATGTTTGACTGAAACCCGGAGGAGTGATGTTATCCGCCCATGCCGACTGCTAAAGCGTGTTCAACATTACATAAGTGTGAAACACTCCTACATTGAGCTTCCGTAGAGGGATGCCAACACCTCCGACATCATGCGAGTTATATCACACAACAGCAGAAAGGTTGAGGTATTATGTAATGCGTTCATTTATGAAGTGTTCAGAAATCATTACACAAACTGTTAAAGGTTTTATACGCAAGATACCCAACACAAGACTCTCTGCTTGATTCAGTCATGCTCCACACACACACTCCTGTAATGAACATCGATCCCACACCTCACATCAAGAATACGAGTTTCATTCGTCTCAGGGCTAGCTCTAAATCACAGGGAGCGAGAGACGATTGAGACCCAGACCAGGGAATATATGAAGAGTTCAGATGCAAAAGCCTCTAAGTGCCATTTGAAATTTTCATTTTTATCAAGCTTATATATTTAAGTTCAGTGATTTCACTTAAATGGCAATGATAATTACCAATTAATAGTTATTTAAGTGAAATTACTGAACTTAAATATACAAGTTTGATAAAAATCATCATTAAAGAAGAAATGGCATTTAGAGGCTTTTGCATCTGAACTCTTCATATATACTGTATACACTCACCTAAAGGATTATTAGGAACACCTTATTAATAAAATTATCTAATCAACCAATCGCATGGCAGTTGCTTCAATGCATTTCGGGGTGTGGTCCTGGTCAAGACAATCTCCTGAACTCCAAACTGAACGTTAGAATGGGAAGGAAAGGGGATTTAAGCAGTTTTGAGCGTGGCATGGTTGTTGGTGTCTGAGTATTTCACAATCTGCTCAGTTACTGGGAATTTCAAGGCATATTATTAAGTATGCTGATGATTCTGTGATAATTAGCCTTTTGCAGGATCATGAAGAGGGCCATGGACCAGTTTTGGGCAATTTTGTCTCATGGTGCAAGGACTCATATCTCCAACTCAATGTTTCTAAAACCAAAGAAATGTGTATTGACTTTCGCCGTAACCCCCCCAACCACAGCTCCAACTTTGATTAATGGCATAGCGTTAGATGTGGTAAGACAATACAAGTATCTGGGTACCATTTTAGATGATAAATTGAACTTTGACACCAATACAGACTATATAGGCAATAAAGCTAATCAGAGACTTTTCTTTTTAAGAAAGTTGAAAGGATTTAAAGGATTAGTTCACTTTTGAAAAAAACTTTTGCTGATAATTTACTCGCCTCCATGTCATCCAAGATGTCCATGTCTTTCTTTCCTCAGTCGAAAAGAAATTAAGGTTTTTGATGAAAACATTCCAGGATTTTTCTCCTTATAATTAGGGTTGGGTATCGAGAATCGAGTATCGATTGGAACCGAGACTAACTTTTCGTTTTTCCCGGAATCGTTCAAAAGTTAAAATTTCGATTCCTAGTTTCGATATTCACAGTCCGCCGAGCGGAAGAAGAAACCGCTCAACAACGTCACCAACGAAGAAGCGTCTACCGGAAGTGTTTGCATAACCGCGCGAGTCGAACATGAGTAACTTACGTCGGCAATCCAAAGTGTGGCTTCACTTTTCTAAAAATAACGAAATCAACAAAAAGAGTATTTTTTACAGAAGGAGTATTTCCTTCAGAAAGGATTATTTCCTTCAGAAAGGCCATTGGTTAGCAAGGTTAGCTAAACTTTTTTGACCCTCTTAAAAGAATCGGAATCGAGAATCGTTAGGAACCGGAATCGAAACTCGGAATCGGAATCAGAATCGTTCAAATTCAAACGATACCCAACCCTACTTATAATGGACTTCCATGGGAACCAGGTCCAACCGAGGTCCAAACGACAGTTATAACAGTTACAGATGCAGCTTCAAATGTCTTTAAACGACACCAGACGATGAATAAGGGTCTTATCATGCGAAACGATCGGTTATTTCAAAGCTTATTCCAAAAATGTAACTTTTCTAAGGACAAATGCTAGCCTTGTAATATATTGTGAGGCGCGTTTGCAACGTCACGTAATACGTAATTACGTTCAAAAGGTCACGGGCGACGTAGCCGGAAGTACAGAATCAAAATCGTCCGACATCGTTGTTTTACCTTTTAATTCCTTTTTTGTAAACGGCGTTTGAGTTAGTTTTCACGTTCAACCTATGCGTTCAACTTGTAAACACTCTGACTTTGTACTTCTAGCTACGTCGCCCGTGACCTTTTGAACGTAATTACGTATTACGTGACGTTGCAAACGCGCCTCACAGAATAGAGCAAGGCTAGCATTTGTCCTTAGAAAAGTTACGTTTTTGGAATAAGCTTTGAAATAACATGATAAGACCCTTATTCATCGTCTGGTGTCGTTTAAAGACATTTGAAGCTGCATCTGAAACTGTTATAACTGTCGTTTGGACCTCGGTTGGACCTGGTTCCCATGGAAGTCCATTATAAGGAGAAAAATCCTGGAATGTTTTCATCAAAAACCTTAATTTCTTTTCGACTGAGGAAAGAAAGACATGGACATCTTGGATGACATGGGGGTGAGTAAATTATCAGCAAAAGTTTTTTCAAAAGTGAACTACTCCTTTAATGTTGATAGATCCCTTCTGAAAGCTTTTTATTCATCTTTTGTTGAGTCAATTTTAACCTTTGCTATGATCTGCTGGTTTGGCAATTTGAGTGTAATCAACAAAAACAGATTGGGAAAAACTGTAAGCATATGTCGGAAAATAATTGGTACTGATCCGAATAGCATTGAGCATACGCATAAGGTCAGAGCTACACAGAGGGCAATGGCCATTCTGGCTAACACCACTCACCCACTACACTCAGAGTCCAGATCCAATAGATATTTGAAATCATTTGTACCATTAGCTGTTGATTTTCTCAACAAACTATTGGACATGTTATTTATGTTTTTTATCTATTTATTATCTCATGTTTTTATCTGTTTTTGTGTAAATGTGTATGTGTTGGCTACCTGTTGTGAACTAAATTGCCCCTTGGGGACATTAAAGATATTTCAAAAAAAAGAAGGGAAAAACCAAAATGAAAATAGGCGAAAATGCCTTGTTGATGCTCGAGGTCAGAGGAGAACGGGCCGACTGATTCAAGCTGATAGAAGAGCGACTTTGACTGAAATAACCACTCGTTACAACCGAGGTATTCAGACAACACACACAACCTTGAGGCGGATGGGCTACAACAGCAGAAGACCCCACCGGGTACCACTCATCTCCACTACAAATAGGAAAAAGAGGCAAGAGCTCACCAAAACTGGACAGTTGAAGACTGGAGAAATGTCGCCTGGTCTGATGAGTCTCGATTTCTGTTCTCGATTTGGCGTAAACAGAATGAGAACATGGATCCATCATGCCTTGTTCCCACTGTGCAGGCTGGTGTTGTAATGGTTTTCTTGGCACACTTTATGCCCCTTAGTGCCAATTGGCCATCGTTTAAACGCCACGGCCTACCTGAGCATTGTTTCTGACCATGTCCATCCCTTTATGGCCACCATGTCCCCATCCTCTGATGGCTACTTCCAGCAGGATAATGACCATGAATCATTTCAAATTGGTTTCTTGAACATGTCAATGAGTTGACTGTACTAATATGGCCGCCACAGTCACCAGATCTCAACCCAATAGAGCATCTTTGGGATGTGCATCCAACAAATCTCCACATTTCCAAAAGAATCTCCAACATTTCTAAAGAATACTTGTTGAGTCAATGCCACGTAGAATTAAGGCGAAAGGGGTCAAACACAGTATTAGTGTGGCATTCCTAATAATCCTTTAGGGTTGTGTTTATTAAGCTTGTTTGATTTTTAGGATGAAATATAATCCAGGCTTGATCTTGGCACTACTGGTGAGAGAGCAGCTGTAGTGTGTGTTATTTACCTTACTGGTGCGGCACAGATTCAGAACGAGCTAATTCAGCCTTGCTGGATTACATTTTTTGGCTTTTTAAAGATGCATAAGAAGATGCAGTACAGAACACATATTGCTTTCAGAGCATGTACACACAACGATGTCTTTGAGGCACTGACAATCAAACCTGCACTGTACTGGTCATAACCCATCATGCGTTTATTATCGACATCGCTAATGTGGGTGAAGCCGAAGAGACGTGACGCCCTGAAAGATCCCACCGGTTGGAGCGTGACCAGAATGATCTTCACCAGAAATGTCATTTCATCAAGCTCACACACCCACACACTCGCACAGGATTCCCTCACGAGCTCATTTCGCACGCCGCTCTGGAGATTTCCCACAGTGCACTGAGCAATATGAGCAAACTAACACATTTCAACATATCCTATCCTTAAAGTACTGCGACGTTCTACATTCAATTATAACATCCACTGGTTGATTAACAGGTGAATGAATATAAACACTAAAAAGAAGCCAAACACCAATGAAAAACTGCATTAGTAAGACAAAGCTTTGTATCATGGTAAAGCGCCGGTACAAAACAGTCCATTTTTTTGGTCCAAAAAATGTCCTACAAAACACAGTGACTATTTTTTGGATATGCACCATATCTTTACATGGTAAATCAAGGGATGGGGAATCAATACGATTGTACTATTATAGTGTATGTCCAAAAAATGTGGTATGCCATCACTACACCACTGTACATGTGGTCTTTTGGACATGCACCACAATAGTACCATGGTATTCATGCACGATCCTCTGAATTAAATACCATGATATTGTCCAATGGTGCTACAACAGTACTTTTCATGAAGGATACTATGTATGTAGCAATCAAAATGCCATGGTACTTATTTGTATAAAGCAAAAAGTACTATGCAAATACCATGAAGAAGTCCCATGAATATGGTGATGATGATAGTACTTATTGTAAGGCACTCGTTAGGAACATTCTGTCCCAACAAAGGGCAAATATAAGCCTCCACTCACCCCCGACGCACAGCAGAGACATCGCGCCGCGTCGCGTCGACCTCCGCCGGAACGGGACAGTCCGTTTACGTGCTGTGATTTGATTCAGCCGCTTTCCCTCAACACACAGCCATGACTACAGCTTTTTTCTAAAAACAATCGCATACATAAACAGACTAACTAACAGAAAATGTTGATGTGAAGCACTTTTCCTCTCAGTTTATCGGGCGTTTAGCGCACTGCCATCTTGCCTCAGCACCAGCGCCGCGCGGACAGCTCGCGCGCACTAGCGTGACGTCACGCTGATGAGAAGCAGACCGAGCATCATCATCATCATCACACGGGAGAATATAAAAATAAATAATAAAGAAAATACGTGGGACTCCCTCAAAATCCGCATGCGGAGCAGCGCCTACATGCGGAGATTACATAACAGACATTGCAGAACAGAAGCATTCAAGTTTAATCATCCATGCAATACACATCATGATGGATTCCAGATATATGGGAGGCGTGTACATTATTAAAAGGATAATTTACACACACACACACAAAAAAAAAAATACCAGACAGGATTTCTCTGTAGTTTTGGATAAAGCCTCTGCTAAATGGATAAATGTTTATTCATGTTGCATTTCCAATGTCTCACAAACCATAGGTTTATTTTACGCAGATAACACTGCAGCTATGGCAAGCCGTTTGGGCATATAAAAATTATTTCTTTCGTTCTTTCTTTCTTCACTGAAAAAAATGTGGAGTAGGATTTACTTGAAAAAAGCTAGGCAACTTTTTCCACTCAGAAAATGCTAGTAAATTTACAAAGATTTGCCAAGTAAAAACCTAAACATATTTATCTTGACATATCCTAAACATATTTATTCTTTAATTAGAAATCTTAAATTAAAATTTACTTGGAATATGGAATTAAGTAAACTTTAATTTAGTTAAAAGTAACAAAGAATATAATAACTTGGCTAGTAAAAGGTTGATTAATATCGATTTAGTTGTAATTTCCTTTGCATTAAATTTCACCCAAACAATTTTATTGAATTATACCAGTCATTTATAGTAAATGTTTTACATAGCCTATCTAAGTAATTTTTACTTCATCATGTCAGATGTTAAGCATGATGTGAATGCAAAGACCTCAATACTTGGTAGACAATACACAATGACAGTAACATTTGATTGATCGTTTTTGTGTTTGAATGGGTCATTTTGAGCAGAAAATTTTGTCACAAAATGGCAAGTTACTAATCCTGACAACAAAAGCAATGATAAAACAGTGTAAATACAGCTGGAAACCAGTGAACCTCATTAATTATTCAAGGTCCAGTGCATGATGGGAACCCCAGTATCAGAAAAGTTGAGTAATTTTTACTTTATTTTATTGAGTTCATATTTATGCTTTCATTTCTACTCGCTTGAACTAAGTACTGATACGGAATTTACTTAGTTTTTTTATTTTTTATTATTCTTGCCTGAACTAACTTTTTCTTGTAAATTACATTGGGTTTTTTTCAGTAGTATTTACCTTACTTTAGGTACCTTTCTTTCTTTCTTTCATTTTACTGCAGCATTTTGGAAAAATGTCACATTATTTGACTTCAGATGCACATAAATACCTAATTTCTAATAAGTAGAAAAAAAACTAATGGCCAATTCTTGTAGGGGACGTCCCATACACACCTCATATCAAACCATTTTACTTTAGCATTTTGGAGATCTCTTCCTTCCACATATTATTTGGGATATGTGATTGTGTATTGTCAACAACATTCTGCATTTGCATCCTAGCGTGGATCATTCATTTCAACATCCTCATTCTCATATTTAAGAATCTGTAATATTTTATGCTACTGCCCACTGACATGCTTTTAAAGCTATTTTTATACCATTTTTATGACCTTCAAACACCTTAAAATACATAAATGTAGGTCTGAGAAATCCAAATTTTCTCGGGGTATGTCCCCGAACCCCCCTAACTACCTCACCTTTGCATGTGTGTGACTGTGTGGTAATGTGGGCTGGTGTGGTTATAGTGCCAGGGATGTTTTTTTCTTAACCAGTCTGCCCCCGCATATAGGCCTGCAATATACATTATTGTCTGTATCGAATCATGTTATCTTATATCTTATTACCCACCCCAGCCCCTGATGTTTCGTGTTCACGCCCTGATGTTTTTAAAACCTAGAAACACCCCTGCCAGGACATGTCCTGTTTTCACATCCTGTCCTGCCTGTTTTTTTTTTTTTTTTTTGTAAAGTGATGAACATGACCTGATTTTCCACAAAAAAAAAAAAAAAAAAAAAAACTGCAGTGAAAGATCAGCTCTACAGCAAAATATAGATGGGCAAACAAGGGGGATGAGGAAGAAAAACAGGATAAAGAGGAAGAACACTGAAGATATAGACCATTTCACAAGATGTAAACAACACTGGTCCAGAAGCACAGTTTTTTAACACTACATAAAAGCTGTGATAAAATACAACCAAACAGAACATTTAAAACTGAATCAAAACGTTAAACAAACATCTTTAAGATGTTTTCTTTACATGTGAAAACAGTTACAAACTGAAACAGGAAGTGCTTCTGGACCAGTGTTGTTTACATCTTGTGAAATGGTCTATATGTAGGCTATATTTTGTTAGTTTGTTTTTGTAAGTGTGTGAGAGCTATTTTTGTTCAATTTGAAGGTATTTCTTTTAGTTATTTATTATTTATATATTTATTTTTCCTAATACAGACGAGACATTATTTCTACCATTATTTCATTCAATATTTTTGAAATCTGTCATAATAAAACACGTTGAAGCCTATCTGAATTTGTGTCTGGTCTTGTATAACAATTTTCTATCTATACAGAGGAGGCATAGCCTACTTTAAATGCACTAAAATTAATAAGGCATCTTTGAGTAAACGTCGAGTATCATTTGAGTATTAGTTTGCTGGGCCGAGTGTCCTGGTTTTTGATAATCAAAATATGGTCACCCTAATCTTGTAACCAAGAAACTCACAGGTTTAGAACAACTTGAGGGTGAGTTAATGATGACATAATTTAATAAATTAATTTTTTTTTTGCGTGAACTTTCGCTTTTAAGACCGGATGTTGTGCGCCTGTACTTACAGGAGTAGGGTACTGACATTGCGCGTGATTTGTTTACTTATTCATCGGGTGCGCGCCTCAGTCCAAGATGGCTACTGGAGACAATAGCGGTCGGGTTCCGTGTTTAAATTTCTCCGGACACGGACCTTTGGGTAACAGCCAACCGAGCAACAGTCCTTACGCCTTGGCTGCGAGTCACGGAGGATCCGTCGGAGGCAATGGAGGCTCTCATGGCGTAACGAGACGCTCAAACCCTCAAACGGGGCCCGCGGGAATGGAAAGCCCCGGTGTCGCGTCTGGACCTCCGCCGAATCTGATGAACTCTCTCCCGGCTGCGGCAGCGGTGATGGGCCCGCTGGCTGCGCCCGCCTCGAATATGACCGGAAGCCCGTCTAACGCAGTCGTGACACCGGCCACACACTCGTCTCTGTCCGCAGCTGCCGTGCTCGTGTACCGGGAGCCCGTTTATAACTGGCAGGCGACGAAAAGCACCGTTAAAGAGAGATTTGCGTTCTTGTTCAATAATGAAGTGCTGAGTGATGTTCACTTTCTAGTGGGTAAAGGGATGGGAGTCCAGCGGATACCTGCACACAGGTGATTAACTAAACGCACCGAGGATATTATTACTCCATCAAACTATTCAAATTAAAGTTCTGTCATCTCACACACACACACACACATACGCAGACACATTACACAAATATATTTATTGTATAGGTTAAGTCATTATATCTTAGAATAATGCATTGAAAATAATACAATATAATTAGCTTTATTACTGTTTTAGTTGTATTACTTTTAATATCAACATTGACATTATTTTCACAACAAACAAATTTCAATTTGCTCTGATTACCTGTAAAACATCCAGGTTGTCTGTGAGTTTCATTAAATTACTTTTCAGAATTCAGAATAAATTAAAGGTTAACCTAATGGCAAATACTTCCTGTAAACCTATTTTGATTTGGCTGGTTATGTGCATATCTGTCATAAAATAAATGTATTTATTAAATATATGCACAGAATACATGCATTAATTATACTATGATTATGATTCTCCAGGTTTGTTCTGGCAGCCGGCAGTGCGGTGTTCGATGCCATGTTTAACGGAGGCATGGCCACCACATCCACAGAGATCGAGCTTCCGGATGTAGAAGCTGCTGCCTTCCTTTCATTGCTCAAGTATGATCAGGTTTCTTAATATGCATGTCTTAATATTAATATACACATCGTTTGGAGTCAGTTCGTTTTTTTAATATATTTAAAAGAAGTCTCTTCTGCCCACCAAGGCAACATTTATTTTATTAAAAATACAAATAAGACCGTAATATTGTGAAATGTTATTACAATTTAAAATAACTGTTTTCTATTTTAAAATGTAATTTTTTCCTGTGATTTTTCAAAGCTGCATCATTACTCCAGTCTTCAGTGTCACATGATCCTTCAGACATGCTCAAGATACATTTATTATTATGAATGTTGTCAAAAAAATAAAAAATGAAAAGAAAGCTCAAAAGAACAGCTTTTATCTGAAATATAAAGCTGTTGTAACATTACACGACGATCGTTCAATATTTTGGGGTCAGCAAGATTTTTTTATTTTGGGCGCTAAAAGAAATCAATAGTTTTATTCAGCAAGGATGCATTAAATTGATCAAAAGTGACACTAAAGACATTTATAATGTTACAAAAGATTATGTTTCAAATAAATGCTGTTTTGCAAACTTTCTACTCATAAAAGAATTTTCAACATTGATAATAATGAATGTTTTTGGATCCTCATATTAGAGTGATTTCTAAAGGATCATGTGACTCTGAAGACTGGAGTAATGATGCTGAAAATTCACAGGATTAAATTACCCTTTACTATATATTCACATAGGAATTGTACTAATATTTCACAATATTACTGTAATTTTTGTATTTTGAATTAAATAAATTTAGCCTTGATGAGCATAAGAGACTTCTTTTAGAAACATAATAAGTCTTACCGATCCCCATCTGTTAAACGTCAGTGTGTTCTCCAGAGAGATGTAGATGTTTCTCTTTCCTCCAGGTTCCTGTACTCTGATGAGGTTCAGATCGGGCCGGAGACGGTGATGACGACTCTCTACACCGCCAAGAAATACGCTGTCCCGGCCCTGGAGGCTCACTGTGTGGACTTCCTGAAGAAGAACCTGCGGGCGGACAACGCGTTCATGCTGCTTACACAGGTGTGTGTGTGTGTGTGTGTAGGGTTTGAAATAAACTTTCACTCATCAGGGTGCTTTGACACATCCTCATTTAGTTGGGTTGAGTCTAGCGTTGGTTGGTGCTGTTCGAGTATTTGCGCTAAATCTGCTCAGATTTGACTCACACGAACTTCCCCAGCAAAGTAGGTAAATATAATAAGTAACTCACCAAACTGGCGAGTGATTTGACAGCGTTTCCCGCCACTGTCTGTCGATTTTTACCCTCATTTGGCAGGTCTTAGTTTCAAACCCTGTGTGTGTGTGATGTTTCCTGTGGTTCTGATTGGCTGATTGTGTCCAGGCGAGACTCTTCGACGAGCCTCAGCTGGCCAGTCTGTGCCTGGAGAACATCGACAAGAACACCGGAGACGCTCTGGCTGCGGAGGGATTCACAGACATCGATCTCGGTACTGTATCACGGTACACCACATTACAGGCCCGTAATATTTATTTGCACATTACTGTAATGTTTATGTGGCCACAAGAGGGCATTAGTGTCTCTTTTAGAAATATAATACAGATTGGAGAGGCTTTTCTACAGGAATCGGATCAAGGTGCCTGAAGATTCCCACTGCTTATCAGGATATCTCATTATAATGCCAAAGATATTTATTTGACTTCATCCTATTTGTTGTTGTTTTTTTAAGTTGCATTGCTTTATCATTGTTTTTATTCTTAAAAATGTTGGCTTAAAAAACTTTTTCAAACAATGTTTTCTTTTACTTAACTGATAAATAAAGGCCCGCGCGCCATTATTTTAAAATTATATAAACTAATGTTTAAATTTCAGTTATATTTCAATTAGGGCTGGGAAACGATTAATCGCGATTAATCGCATCCAAAATAAAAGTGCATGTATATATTTAAGAAAAATGTGTTATTAATATCAAATATTTCTATTTATGTATAATATTAATTTTGTATAGATATATAAAGTATATACATGCAAATATTTCTTAAATGTTTACATGCATGTGTGTGTATTTATATATACAAAATAATTATACACACTACACACACATATATTATGTAAACACAAACTTTTATTTTGGATGCGATTAATCGCGATTAATCGTTTCCCAGCCCTAATTTCAATTTGTTTAGGTATTATTTTTTTCCTACTTTTATTCAGCAAGGATGCATTAAATGATGATATTTAATTTTATAATGTTAGATTATAATGATTCAAAATCCTGTTCTTTTAAACTCTATACATCAAAGCATCCTGAATATATTTACATGGTTTCCAACACTGAAGATGCTGAAAATATAGATTTGATCACAGGAATATATTCGATTTTAACATATATTCCCATAGAAAACAGCCATTTTGAATTATAATAATATTTCACTTTTTTATGGTATTAATGTACATTTTTAAATGGAGTTTGTTCAGTAGCACATTAGTTTTAGTGTGGTTTTAGAATTGGTGACACAACTTTTGTCAGCATCCTCACCAATCTCTCTCTCTGTCTCAGACACACTGTTTGCGGTGTTGGAGAGAGATACTCTGGGCGTGCGAGAGGTGCGTTTGTTCGCGGCGGCGGTTCGCTGGGCGGAGGCCGAAACACATCGACAGCAGCTTCAGCCCACGCCGGAGAACAAGAGACGTGTGCTGGGGAAAGCCCTCAGTCTCATCCGCTTCCCTCTCATGACGATAGAGGAGTTCGCCGCAGGTCTAAATACACTCTCTCTTTGTTTTCTATCTGCTTTTTAGGGTTTATAGGGGCAAATAAAGGGTGCTTAAATTTCTAAGTCAAATTCAAGTATTTTAAGTCCTGGAAAACAGCCATATTTATGAAAACGTACTTAAAATATATGAAATTAGTGTCTAATTTTATTGATAAAACAATATTTTCACACAAAATGCACACTGCAGCCAGTCTGATATAGATATAGAAGGATTTCGCATGGAGATGAGTGTGATATTGCTTATAAATATCCAAGTATATGATGCATCTTTCATTTTTCAGGTCAATCATATATTCATGAGGGGGGAAATCAGTTTGAATAAGAAAAACTATATCTTTGTCACAGTAAAGTTACCACAATCATTGCGTCTGCTGCACTTTGTTTTATTTTAGTTTATCTATTTACCTTTTTTAGACCTTGAAAGATGATAAAAAAATCGTTTGATATGTCGGATCACTGACTGAAGTCCTTGAAAACACTAAAAGAGTAGTGCTTGAAAAGAATTCGATTTTTACCGTATCGATACGAACCCTGTAAATATGAGTGTGTGTGTTTCACTCAGGTCCTGCTCAATCAGCCATTCTGACGGACCGAGAGGTGGTGAGCCTCTTCCTGCACTTCACGGTGAACCCGAAGCCTCGCGTGGAGTTCATCGACCGGCCGCGCTGCTGTCTGCGGGGCAAAGAGTGCAGCATCACGCGCTTCGGGCAGGTGGAGAGCCGCTGGGGCTACAGCGGGACCAGCGACCGCATACGGTGAGCCGGAGGAGACATTCACACACGCCGCGTTTCCGTTACCCTTCAAACTGCACAAACTGAAAATACGGCCAATGGAAACACGTTAATTTTGCGAAAAAAGGCCTCATATATATCACAGAAAAGTTTTTACGCTTTCATGAAGTGGGTTTTCAGGCTATTCGAAACAAGAAATATTTTCGCAAAACTGCAGTGGAAGCGCATCTACAGTAGATGATGGAGTGTGTTTAGACGGAAAACAAGATGGTTCTTCATTTAACTCATAAAAGTGGATGGGATATACATAAACCTACAAACATCCGTCGGCATGATTTCTGTAATGACCTATCCGAGAGATGAAAAAACGATGTTTTAGACGTGTAACATCGGTTAATGGAAACGCCGTCATTTCGCAATAGTTTTTTATCGGCGTTTAGACAATATCGCAGAAGTTTTCCACAAATCTGTAATGTAAACGCCCGTGTGAAGTTCACTGACTCAATGACTGTGTTTGCAGGTTCTCTGTAAATCGCAGGATATTTATTGTGGGTTTCGGGCTTTATGGATCTATACACGGACCTACAGACTATCAGGTCAACATACAGGTACGTCTGTCCACAGATGCTGTTTTCTCATCAATGCAAAAGAAACTTGAAGTGTGTCAATATATATATATATATATATATATATATATATATATATAGACAATTTAAAATATACATTTTATTTTACTTTAATAAATATTACTCTGGTATTTCAGTTTTATAATTTCAGTAGAAGTTAAATTAAATGAATTGAGAAATGTTAAATTTCTTTAATATTTTATTTCAGTTTAAGTGTTTCCAAACTTGTAATTTCTCTGTTATTTTAGATTATTATTATAGATTTTATTAACAATGTGAATTAGTTTAATATATATATATATATTTATAAATGTTGTAATTTGTCGTTTTTTTATATTATATTTAACTATTTTTTTTATACTTTTTATTTTGTTTTAAAAAGGTAAATATTAATTAATATTTCAGGTTTAGTTATATTTATTTTAGTATATTTATACGTTTTTTATTTCAGTTAATAAAGAAATAAAAAACTTTTTATCGTGAATATAGTTTTCATTAACTATTAATAATGCTGTTTTGTCATTGGTTGCATCAGATGTAGACATGTCAGGCTGCTCAAACAAACAGATCAGTGTTTGAAAGCGTTACATTGTTCAGAAAATATTTACATTTATGTAAATATTTATGTAGATTTATATTTATGCTTTTGGCTCACTTTTAAATGTGACGTCAGGGTTTACATATTCCCTGTGAACCGAACCCATGATCTTAGAGTTTAGAGTGTCCTGATCTACTGTTTGAGTTTCCAGAATAACTAGTTTATGGTGGGAAAGTGTTTTAACTCTCCAAAAATACCCATTTGATCATTTACAGGATTATTCTGAAAGTAAATAGTGCTTCACAGATCCTGATTGAGTGAATCTCTTTCAGATCATCCACACCGACAGCAACACGGTTCTGGGCCAGAACGACACCGGCTTCAGCTGCGACGGGTCGGCCAACACGTTCAGGGTCATGTTCAAGGAACCGGTGGAGGTTCTGCCCAATGTCAATTACACCGCCTGTGCCACATTAAAGGTGAGCTTAAACTAACAGCTGATGCACTGATTTATAAGTGTTTGTAACGTCCGTCTCTCTCGTCTCGCAGGGTCCGGATTCGCACTACGGCACTAAAGGCATGAGGAAGGTCACGCACGAGTCGTCCGGCACCGGCACCAAAACCTGCTTCACGTTCTGCTACGCCGCGGGCAACAATAACGGCACGTCCGTCGAGGACGGCCAGATCCCAGAAGTCATCTTCTACACGTAGTCGGAAGACTCGATCGGCACATTATATTGCACTTGACCGTAACACTGACAGTAACTGTTACAGGAGGAACGCTTGTGTTTAATAGCTGACTATGGAGGGCTTATATTTACACTGACTGTTAACAGCGAGGGAATTACTCACCCGTGACCGACTGAGATGGAGCAAATGTATCTTTATTTTTGTGTATCGGGTTTTTGCGTCTGGGTCGCGATTAAAAAATCTTGCCAAAAAAGCACCTCATAATGTGTTCGAGCTTTACATTTAACTCTATTATACAGGGAAAACATGACTTGATGTGTATGCAACTGATCCCTGCGGAAGTAATTACTGTACATATTTCTGTCACTGAGTTTGGACTGAAATGGTCTTTTAGATTATTATTTGAAAAGATAATTATATCAGTTTCCATGTTGGTCTGGCGGTGTGATTGTAGACCAGAAGTCTTTGGGAACTTCTTTTCTTTTGTGCCAAGGTCTCCTTAGATACATTCAGCACTTAATTGAACTAGAGGGTGTAAATCCATTCAGGAACACAGTATTTATTTTCAGGATGAGCCTCAGTCTGTTCAGGTCACACACGCTGATGTTTCTTGATTGTCGATGGGTCGTTATATTGGGTCTTTGTATGACTGCTCATGTCCAATAAAGTTTAACCATTCTTTACTTTTGAATGTTTTTGTTCACTCGTTTTAAGGACTTCAGACTGTATTTGATGTTGACACACACATGACCCATTAGTTGAGTTGAGTTTCAGCAATTGAATATATAAAATAAAGTAAAATGCTAGATTTATATTTTAATAATTTGTCTATAAGAAATGCAGAAAATACTACTTTAAAAAAAAAGGCTGAGTCTCTGTTTTTGTTTATTTATATATTGCTTTATGCAATAAAATTGCTTCAAAGCCGGTTTTCCGAAAAATCAATGTGAGCCAGTGTTATTTAAGTATAATTGAGATACTGTTATAGTTTTTATTAATATCTTGGATCAGATTTTTTATTTACACATTAAGTCATTTTTTAACAATCTTTAGTTTTATCAATTGTTTTATTTATTTTAGTACATTGAGTTAAACTAAATAAAAATTAGGAACATTGATATTGCTATTCCAGGAATTTCCATTGATTCATGTCTTCAAGACTTGCATCACATTCAATCCATTTTATTCCTGATCATAAACAGTCACAGGGCATATTTTTGCCCTTTACGCCGTCGAGTCATTATCTTTTATTACAGTCTTTTAGTTATTTTGGGTTTACTCCCAACAGATATGGGCTACAGTATTTTCCAAAACTACCACATAACACACATTCAACCAAAAATGTTTATTAATCTCAATTCTAATAACGCCTCTTTGACTCTTTATTATCTCTACTAGATTGAGCAGCTCGTTTTTATCTTGTTGATGGTTTTCTTGCCAAATTTCTTTCTTTGCCTTATTTTCTAACAAGAACCAAATTCCTTTTATTCCAGAGGCAATTTTCAGATAATTCTACAGTATGTTTATAATTAATCATCTTATCTTTTTAGTAATTAAAACTTGAAATGGTTTATTTGTCTTTTAATTGTCCAACCTGATCCAGACGCCCAATATAAAGCAAGATACCCTGATGATGTGAGATGTGTGGTTTATTTAAACTGAAAATGATTGTGACCGATGTGAAGGTGCAGGCGATCGAATTTATTCGAGTGAGAAACATGGCGGAATACCACAATAAGATTGTCAGGCTTTTCTAATTACAGCTTAGGTTATAACCTGCACAAAATACAGTATAATATTATTATATTATAACAATATGTAACGATAAAGTTTACAATGGCTTCAAAAATTAATTAAAAAATTATAAAGCAAAACAGCGCCGGCCCGAGCCTTTTGGGGGCCCTAAGCAGAATTTGATTTGGGGGCCCCTCCCACGACGCGGAGTCACCTGTGTTTGACGATTATTGACATAAATGTCACGCAAAAATGATACATTATAAATGAATACACTGAGGTTATGTATTAATAAAAAAATAGATGCCTACTTAAATAAAAAAGTTTGAAAACAGTCTTAAAACTGTCTCAAAACATATACAATAAATTATTTGCTAAAATTATGACAAAACTGAGAAATTAGAAACGTAAGAGCAATGATACTTTGGCCTATCCTCCTGGGACCCAGGAATAGACTTTTGTCCACTGTAGTGGACATTATATTTTATTGTATTTCTATGACACCATGCATGTCACATTTTTTTTTCTGGATGTCCTGTAAAGAGCACATTCAGGGCAATACAGAGATACCAAATGTTTAGAGGTTTCACCATGAAAACAACTTCTCCTTGGTCTTTAAAAATGTCTAACATTAATTTAGTGATCAAATGTAGCACTCTTATTGAAATATGGTAATATATTGTAATTATAATTTAAATCTAACTACTTTTCAAATTGTATTTCATCAACCAACATCTCATGAAAATGTTATGGGGTTTCAAATGAAAAAAATGACTTTCCGTTACAGGGCATTGATTTCATTCATGTCCACTGTAGAGAACATCAGGACATAAATCATGTTTATCAGGCATTCTGGGAGACATAACAAGTGAATATGTAAATAAATTATACGTCAATATTCTTATGACATATTAGATATTATTATTAAAATGTTGCTTATTATTACGCCAATGCTTACACTTCTTTCCTCATTAAATGTTGCTCCAAGAACACATTAATGTGCAAATTAGATACAGTGTATAGATACTTTGCATTGAATGGGAATATTAATTTATGCCAATTTGACCCATATATTGCATAAAGTAAATTGGTGTATCAATTAATTCCATTATATCTTTCATAACATAGTTGATAATCATCTTTATACAAATTTTAGTTCAAAAAAATCCTGAAACCCCAAAATGTATTGGTGATTGGAAAAAAAATCCCATTGTTTTTGCCTACACATTGTATGTCATTTAATTTTAACAACTGAGTCCTGGTGTCCACTACAGAGGACAAAGTATTACATATGAATAAAATATAATTTTTCAAAAAGGTTTTTTTTTTTTTTTACCATTTGTTTATTATGCTCTAAACAATGATGATGACATGAAAAAAAAATCTAAATAAAAAAAAAAAAACTTTCTGGGTCTCAGCTATTGTTGAAAACTAAAAATATTACTAGCCTATTTCTCAACTGTCTCAATACAGAGTAACTATCCTCAAAATCTTTATTATTGTTATTATTATTATTGTAACAGACTTTGTTATATAGTACATGACATAATCAACACAGTCTGTTACTATAATACCGGTTATGATGTTCTGGCGCTCGTTGTATGTGTGTATGCAATGTATTTTTCCCCTCGGGGCTTGCCGTAGATGGGTCGTGCGCACTTGCTAGGCTACTGGAGTGTCGCGGGTGTTTGGAGATCTGATGTGTGGTATAATAAAGTGGAGAAGAGTTCAAACTGCTATGTTTATTATTTATTCAAACTGCTACCCTTACACCTTGAAGGATAAGTTCTCCTGCGGGCTATTTTCTCCAACTTAAACCGATACCGTGACTAGGCGCAGTTGCGCACGAATTGTCTATGCACGCGCGAGGTGTCTAGAAGATTATGCGTATGACTTAAACGCTGGCAGACAGAGCAGCAGTTGTAACTTGTAGGCAGGTATATTGACCATTAAATCAGAATTTTGTTGTCTTGAACTATTCATTCAGTCATATTCATTCATTCATTGATTTATGTCACTTGTTAAAGTCATCTAAAAAAATAAAAATAAAAAATAACCTCGATTAGGGGGCCCCCTGGTGGCCAGGGGGCCCCAAGCAGCCGCTTAGTTCGCTTATGCCTCGGGCCGGCCCTGAAGCAAAACACACATGAGAAGAAGAGTAAGAACCTTGCTATATTTGTGTGTAATTAATTAAGAGAAAGTGCACCGTCATTTTACTCCGACAAAAGTGACATGAGTGCGCGCGCCTGTAGTCTACTTCAACAGTCCAGCACCTACACCTGTAGCCCCGCCCATGGGAGCCACTGTTCTGAAACAGGTTCAGCAACATTCATCAAGAGATGAACACTAGGCTATGAGTGCTGGTAAACTTAAATTTACTCTGAAACTCCGACTGAGACACTGTGGATGAAAATGGACTTGAGTAAGTATTTATTATTTTAAAAAGTCATCGTCTTTACCTTGTTGATTCATTATAAATATGACTTTTAATCAAACTCGACGTGTTACCTAACGTTACTATTTATGTGCGACATTGCCACTTTCACTTTCATATTCGTCTAAACTAAATAAATTTGGTAAGATACATAGGTCTTGCTTTGTTCTCCATATAGTCGTTTCCTATACATATGCCTTGTCACGGACGGACTGCGTTTTAGGTTTATTTGCAGAATACACTCAAGTGCGTCAGTGTGTAATTAGCGTGTGCCAGGAGTGTGCGCGCGCAAGAGAGATATTTATTCATTATTTTAGTTTGCCTTTTTATGTTAGCATATTTTAAAGGATATATAATTACTGTTTTATGTAATCTGTGTTTTTATTGTCTCCTGATTAAGAAAATTAAACAATTCTAATTTCTTCATAATTTAGGTAACCATGGTCCATGGATGATGATTAATGTAACTTCATTCATTTGTCTTAATATGATTAGCATATTTTTAGTACAGCTTTCTTGTTAATTGTTCAGAAAGCACACACTATATTAAAGCCGTGTGTTTGTTCTGTATTTGTTGCAGGTGATGCCCATCATCTCTCAGAGCTCAGGATTGTGTTGATGGGATATAGAGGAGCTGGTAAGAGTTCAGCTGGAAACACCATCCTGGGCCGAGAGGAGTTTGACTTGAGGAGATCTGATCAGTGTGTGGAGAGACATGGAGAAGTAGCAGACAGACACATCACTGTCATTGAAGCTCCAGGATGGTGGTGTAATTACCCTGTAGAGTTCAGTCCTGAGTTACTGAAACAGGAGATTTTGCTCAGTGTGTCTCTGTGTCCTCCAGGACCACACGCTGTACTACTGATCATACGTGTGGACGACACATTTAAAGAGATTGAGAGAAAAGCATTGCTGGAGCATCTGGATCTTCTCGGTGAGAGAGTCTGGAGTCACACTATAGTGCTGTTCACTGCTGGAGACTCTCTGTCAGACACATCTATAGAGCAGCACATCGAGAGTGAAGGCCAGGATCTCCAGTGGCTGATGGACAAATGTGGGAACAGGTTTCATGTGTTCAACAATCACAACAGGAGTGACGACACTCAGATCAAGGAGCTGCTGGAGAAGATTGAGGAGACAGTGGCACAAAACAACGGCGGCCATTTTGAAATTGACAGAAAGATTTTACAGGAGGTGACAGAGAGAAGAAGAGCAGAGGAAGAGAGAGCAGAAGAACGAATGAAGAGGATGAAAAAAAGGAGAGAAAACATCAGATCACAGATGAGTGAGTCCACATACTTTATAGTGCAGAGACACACGAGTATATTACATAAATCATAAAAATGTAACAGTCACAGCAATAATAGCCAGAAACTTCTTGTCATTAACCGCTATTTGTAGAGGCATTCCCAATAGATGGGTCCCCAACAATCTGTTACTGAAGAAAATAAGCACTTTCATTTCTTAAATTATCCTGCTCTTCGTAGGGTGTGCTTCTGATAATAGGAATCAATTTACCTAATCCATATAAAACAATAAATAAAAACAAAAACTCTGCAAACATCTCGCATTGAATATAAAGTAATCTTAAACATCAGCTTTACACCTATAGACACGCCTCATGTTTGTCCCGTCAAACACTTTGAAAGTACATTACAAGTAAACACTACTAGACTGCTAGCCTGACTACGTCAGACTTCCTACTTCCGCTAATTTCATTTCGCTCCTGTAGTCAGTCTGAGATAGCGGCCTATCTTTCAGTTTTCCACCGGCCTGAAAGCAGCCGGCCAATCAACGAACAGAGGGCGGGCTGAGAGCCGTGACGTAGCCGCTAAGCGCCGAGGAGTACATTGTAGGTTAGAGAAATCGAAAACCGAATACCGAAACAACCGCAGAAATGGGAAACAAGACACGGGATGCAATTCGCTCTGTTATGGAGAACATTCCGGGGTTTTTCAAACTGAAGCAAAAGTCGTTTACAGCCATGTTCACTCCAGTATTTCGGTCGCATCATCAGTGTTTACAGCTAGGACCGGCGCGTGCAGACGTTTTTATTTTTGCAAATCATTATAACAAGGACAAATATTAACACTTCAAGCTTAGGCATTTAGGCTACCCATTTTTTTTCAGGCTAATTGTAGTAATGACGGATCAGACCTGTTTGGCCTAACTATATGCATAACTATAAGGACATAACTTACCCCCATTCAACGTCAGTTCTCTGTCTTTTATGGCCATGACAATAACGTCGGTTCCCTTTCAAGGCGGTCACTTCGACATTACGTCATACTGACGTCTAGGGAACTCCCCCTTTCTCCATTTCCACTGAAATCTTATAGGCTAACGCCAGCTGGAGACAGCTGGCCAATTGACGCAAACATGCAAATGCTGACCGGTCCACGGGCAGTATAAATAGCATGGGCGCGCCAATTGCGTCAGAATCTCTTTCTTCACGCTAGAAGTCTTATTGAAGTCATCGTGGAAGTTGCAATAGAGGTTACTCACCACGTTTCCTCCCCGCATCCGATGGCTGCTACATGCCAGATGTGCGGGTCCTTGACTCGCTCTACCCTACAAGGAATCTACAGAAGCCGCACACACGGAACGACAGGTGTGCTGATCTTCCAATGCGCGCCTCAGCAGGGATGAGGCCCACTGCCGCCAGCTGGCCGCTGGTGGGCCCTTTCCCGCCCAAAGTCGAGTGGACGTCGCTTTCTCGACGCGATAGGCTTCGTCGAAAAGGGATCCTAGCACTGACTCTGTGTTCGGTATCTCAGCCCGCCAATCGGCCCCGAACCCGAATGAACCGGTTCCTCACCGTTGTCAGAGGCAGAGCCGGCTTCAGACCGCTTTTAGCAGGGGGGCATTTATTTTCAATGGGTGGGCACTAGGTATATGGGGACTTTTTCCGATATTAGATATCCTATATTTATTATTGCTACTGCCTTTTCTGTTAGCTATTAACATGAAGTAGCCTAATGCAACCCACACAATAAACACATAAAACATTACACATTGTTGCAAGACGAGCGACTCTTAAGAAATTTGATCAAGGGTTAAATAGGCCTATACAAAAAAAAAAAAATTGCAAGACCGACTCTGACCACAGCTTTATAATAGCAAAGCTAACGAACATGTACTAGTCTCTCACTGACAGAATAGCCGTTTATATGCTATCTCAATGGCGGAAGTGAGAAAAAAAAAGCTAAGTTACTCATCTTTATTCTGCTATGTTCTAACATAAGCATTCGTAGCCTTAAAAAGCATCATGTAGTTACCTTTATCAAATAAAACCTTTAACACCTTTAACAAATAAAAAACACCCACAACATACACAGATATTATTCTACAATTTCCATTTACAAGAAAATATAGGCTTAAACACCTTTTTCTCCACGGCGGGAGTGAGTGACATTTCAGGACAATGGGCAGCGCAAAAACTAGGCCAACTAAACTATTAGTTTCATCACGTGACAACACATAGTGAACATTACAGTACATGCCAGTTAGATAAATAGCTACACTTACGACTCGGACTCGACTGTCTTTGGTCTCGGTCTCGACTACAACACTGCACGGTAGAAGCACCAAATACCAAAGCCGGGCTGTCGTTGTCTTGCTGTATGGGGTAATCGATGTGTAAGGAGAAACTGTAGTATTGAACCATTTTCTAATTTCCATTTTTGGAGAGTTTTCATCTGTTTACTTTGTTTTGAATGCAGGAAGCTCGCGCGGTCGCGCCAACTGAAAATCATTTCATTCAAGTATTAACGTGCGTGATTGGGGGGGCGGCAGGGGGGTTTCCTCACAGCGTCACACTGGTTTTAATGTTGGCTTTATTGTATTTTCAGCTAATGAGACGTTTGTAGACATATATTTGTACTATTTCTCACTGAAATGTGAATTAAATAAAACTGATATTATTTTGTAAATTATATCATAATTCAATTTGGGGGGGCACAAAATACATTTGGGGGGGCATTGCCCCCTAATGCCCCCCCATAGCGCCGGCACTGGTCAGAGGGCGGGACCGGGAATGTGGCGACTCGGGCCACGGAGAGCGCCGCACCAGACAGTGGGTCCTTCCCTGGCTGCCTCTCGGCACCTGCTCAGGCCTTAAGTGCTGGATTCTGAAATTAACCATGTATTCACAGCTGTTGTCGCTATGACACGGACGCTGTGTCTATGTGCACGCTGATATGTGCTATATTAACGGTAACGCCAGTGCAACTGGCCATTCTGTTAATCACGATTCACAGTTGTTGTCGCGACGCCACTGACGCTGTGTTTATGTGCACGTTGATATGTCTTGTACTACTGTTATGCCCTTTTATATTGCCCCGTTTTCCTCAGTGCAACAGGCCATTCTCTTTAACCATGTATTCACAGCTGTTGTCGCTACGCCACTGACAGTGTTTAGGTGCACGCTATGTGCTTATTTAACAGTAACTTAGTGCTACTGGCCATTCTGTTTAAATCCTATGTGTTAATCACGATTCACAGTTGTTGTCGCTACGCCACTGAAGCTGTGTTATGTGCACACTGTTAGGTGGTATTATTACTAACAGTGCAGTTGAGCGGCCGTGCTGTCCTCGAGCCCCGTCCCCGGGTGCCTCGAGCGGAGCGAGTCCCGTGTCTTTCCCCCATCAGGGCGGTTCCATTCTGATTAATCACGTATTCACAGCTGTTGTCGCTGTTACGCCACTGACACTGTGTTTACTCGCAATGCGCACGGATATATGCTGTGATTTGTGCCATTATATAGTGCCCTGTTCCTTCAGTGCATATGGCTTTTCTATTACTAACGTTACGTGTTCACAGCTGTTGTGCGATGTATTGATAACGCTGTTATTATGTGCACGCTTCACACTGATGTGTTAACATGATTCATGCCGCTATAATTGCCCTGTACCTTCAGTGCAACTGGCTTCTGTTCACGGTTGTGCGATGCACTGACGCTGTGTTATTACACTGTTATGTGTGTTATGATGTGCCACGTTATTGCTCTGTACCTTCAGTGCAACTGGCCAGTCTGATTACTACGTATTCACAGTTGTTGCGTTGCAACGGGCGCTGTGTTACTTAAGCACTTCACACTGTTATGTGTAGGATTTATGCCAGTATTCTTGCCCTGTATACTTCAGTGCAAATGGCTATTCTAATTACGAAGCAGTGTGTATTCATAGTTGTTGTGCCATGCAACTACGCCGTGTTATGTATTCACCACACTTGGTATGTGTTGAATTTGCCATTGTATATTGCCCTGCTCCTTCAGTGCACATGACAGTTGTCATGTGATACAACGGGCGCCGTGTTTATGTACACTCTACACACTGTATGTGTTATGATTATGCCGCTGTACACTGCCCTGTGTCCTTCAGTGCAAATGGCTATTGTATTACTACATATTCACAGTTGTTGCGCGATGCGACTACGTTTTTACAAGCTACACTGTAACACACTGTTAAATGTAATGATTTATGCCATTATACAGTATATTGCCCTGTGCCCTTCAGTGCAAATGGCTATTCTATTACTACACTGTGCATATTCACAGTTGTCGTGTGATGCAACTGGTGTCGTGTTGATACACACTCTACACACTGTGGTGTTATGATGTGCAAATGGCTATTCTGATTATGTGCACAGTTGTGCGTCACAACTGACGCGGGGTACATGCTAACTCACTGATGTGTTATGGTTACGCCGTTAATTTTGCCCTGTATCCTCAGTGCAACCGGCTATTCTGATGTACTATGTATTCACAGTCGATGTCGCTATGCCTCTGACGCTGTGTTTTTGTGCACACTAATGTCACTATGCTATTGCGTTGCCCTGTATCCTTCAGTGCTCCATGGCTATACTATCCAACTGTGCCTAGTCACAATTTTTCGCTACGGCGACTTGCGCTGTTTGCGTGTACACTAAAGCGTAATGCTGTTATGTTGCCAACGTAACTGACCATTATGTTGTTCTGCACATATTCATGCAGTTTCAGTCGCTTCGGTGGCCCGCACCGAATTTTTCCCACGGATGTTGAAATGTACTGTTGGGTTATGCTGTTATGTTCTCTTCCTCAGTGCAACTACCAGCTACCCTCTAACTGCGTATTCAGTTTTGTCGCTATGGCGACTACACTGCACGTACAAGGACGTGTTTTTGCTATTCTCGCTCTGTCCCTTCAGTGCAAAACTAGCTATTCTATCTAACCATGCATTCCACAGTTCTGGATGTATGTACATAACGGAGGTTTTATGCTGTTTGCTGCCTTGTTCCTCAGTGCAG